CTCCCCGGTACATCTATTTTTGGAATACTTTTGTTCAAATATCACCAAACATGACAGGCTATATTAAATAATATTACAATATTTGTTCACCCTGTTTCTGGCAGCATTTTGAGGGCTGCAATACGAGATTGTATGACAACTGATTACCCATAATACTAACTTTAAAGTGCCTGTGCAATGCCCACCCACACGCTTCCCATTTTGGATCTGTGCCCCACTGAAATGGGCAATTATTGATTTTTTTGCTGAAAATGATTACTCGTATCCAAGTAAATTTGAGATATTTACCGTGCTGTAGCCACGCCCACCTATCCTGAAACGGTCGGCTGTTTCCGGATTTCCGACTCTCGCTGAAAGTGCGCCACCAAATGCAAAAATATGAGAGGAAGCCATACCCCTGAGCCGTACTTTTATATCACTGTGTCATTCAACGTACAACTGTACTTTTAAACGATATACATTTTTTAATCAGCGTTTCTTTTGTCTATTTTATTTTATTTTTGAGAGAGCGAATTTTTAGAAGTTGTTTTCACAACAAATTTTTATGATGGTTAAACATTGTGTTGTGGGCAGTTGCAGTAATGCGTATAGTCATAGTGTAAGCATTTCCACATTTCCAATCGATCCGAATGTGCGAAATCGGTGGACGAAAGCCGTGAAAATAACGAGAAAAAGTTGGGGTGGACTTCCTCCTTAACAACGTCATATGCAGTGTCCACTTCACCTCAGATTATTTTTGTTGTTGAAAAACTGTCCTTGTCCATGACAAAACAACTAGGTTTTAACGAGAAACGCCGACAATACAAAACGTTTTCGAAAAAATTAGGTTCCAGACCAGCCCATGATCACTGAGACGGATTTCAGAAGGGAGAGAGACGTCGAGTATGTGTTTCAAAGGATTTGATTTTTTTGCGATCCTGATTATCGCTTTATAGACCACCCGTGTTATGTAAAAAGGTAGCAGTAATTTTGATAATGACACGAAAACGAAGCGTCGGACAAACAGGAAATTACGCAGCCCTCAGGCTGTTTTCATTTTCGCAGGCTAAAAGTGTCTGAATTGTTATTGGTATTGAATGTCGAATTCACACCTTTGTTGCCTTTACTTGCAGCTCCGGGCTTGAGCTGTCAATGTACTTTTTAAATATGATGTCATAATCATGAAAATCACGCTAAATCCACTCTGAATTTGTCTGTAT